TTCTGAATTCTTAAATATTTTATTTTGTAAAATAAAAATAATAAAAAATATTTGAAATTTATTTTTTTGCTAATATTTTAAAACTTATTTTTTTTATATTATAATTATATAAAAATAAATAATAATATTATATATAATTTATAACTATCTCTATGATAAATATTACAAATTATTATTATTATATATAATAATAAAAGAATTAAAAAACTTTATAAAATATTAATTTATAAATTTTAATAATAATAAAATTAATCTTTCTAACTTGAATTTACTTAAATAAAATAAATATAAAGATTTAGATACTTATTTTATAAGATAAATAAAAAGAAAAAAATATAATAAGAATTCTAGTAATTAATATCTGTAAATAAATAAAAAAATAATTTTAAAATAATACATATATAAACTTAAATTATTCTTATATTAACTAAAAATAAATAAAAAATAATATTTGTTAATTAAAATTTTCTCAAAAATATTTTAAAATATTTTAATTTTAATTAGATTTATTAATATAGTCAATTTTATATTACTTTATTTAACATATTTATATATTAAACTTTTTTAATTAGACTTATTGATATAATTAACTTTATATTATCTTAATTAATATATCTATATATTAAACTTAATTTAAAAAAACTAAAAATCTTTTATAAAACTTGAAAAATTTAATACTTAAAAATTAAAAATCTTTAAAAATACTAGAGATATTTGACTATTTTCAAAGTCTAAGTTAAAAATATATTTATATTATTTTAAAAATAATTTTTAATTAAAATAATTCAAAAATATATAATATAATTTCAAAATTATAATATTAATATTTGTTATTCTATTAATAGTTGATACTAATTAAGTTTTTATATCTATTAAAGAGTTTATATTAATAATAAATTACTTTATTAATAAAAAATTTATTTATGTTATTTTTGAATTCTAATTTTGAATTTTTAGATAATAGATCTATATTATTATTATACTAAGTTATTAAATTAAGTATTATCATTATCTTTTTTATTTTCTTATAAGAAATATAAAGAGAATTTTTCTTGATTAAATCTCTTTTTCTATAGTTATACTTGATTTTTATATATTATTAGTTGACTGATATAGATTTTATTATTATTATTATTATTATAATAGTTATTATCTCTTTTCTTTTTCTCTTTTTTTTCTCTTTGTTTATATTTTATTTATATTTTATTTATATTTTGCAAATTTACTTTTTCTTTACATTAAAAATTATTATTTTTTATTATTTTAAAGTTTATTATATTATAAAAAGAGTATTAAAAATCTGTTATATTATTTTATTACTTTGTTAAATCATTTGGATAACTTTATAACTTTTATTTTTCTTTTATTAATTTATTATTATTTTATATAATAAAAGAAAAGAATTTATATTTTTGTGATGATTACATAATTTTTATTTATCTTATGACATGTAATTTTTGAGACTTGTAACTGATAGTTTTGTAATTTTGACTAAAATTATAATATATAATTTCTAAATTACTTTAAAATTTTATTTATCAATCTATAATTTGATTAGTTAATAATTTTTATATGATATATAATCTTATATAACTTTTAATAATATTATTATGATCATATTTTATTATTATCATTTCTTTTATTTTTCTTTTTTTTGATAAAATAGATAATAAATGATTCTATTATATCTACAAAGAAATATCAAAAATTTATTACTATTTTTATTATCTCTTGAAAAGATTATTTTATGATAGATTAATAATTTTATATATAATATTTGGTTAAACTAAGATATAATAAAAATATTATTAATTATAGATAAAAGAGACTAATATAATCAAAGATATAATATAATAGATATTAAACTATGATTATAATAAGATTAAAGATAGGTAATAAGCATGTGTTCATGATATGATCAGTTAAAATGTGACCTGAAATAATATTAAAAGATTTATTTTTTATTTTTTATTATAAACTTATTTAAATTTAATATCAGATTATTTTTATAATTACTTTTATATTTTTAATATATTTAAAATTAAATATAATCATTAATTTTTTATGTAAATTTCAAAAATTATGAATTTTTTTAATAATATAAGTTTTTTTATAATATTTTTTTATGAAAATATTTTTTAATATATTTTAAAAGAATCTGTATATACTAAGAAATTTTTATTTTATATATTTAAAAAATATGATATAATATAATTTTAAAAGACAAATTTAAAAAATTAAGTTATCAAAAATTTAATTAACAAGCTATTAAAATATTAATCTAGAATGAATATTCTATTCAAGATAATTAAATATTTGAAAATAGCTTGAAGATAATAATAATACTTTCTAATAAGTATTATTTATTAATTAATAAGAATAATATTATATATAAAATTTTTAATCAAAAATGCTAATCTTTTATTTACATAAATTATATAAATAGTGTCTATGATTTTGTTTAATCAATGATCAAGCCTATTATATATATATTTCATATTATTACAATATATCTCTTATACAAAAATATTTGAGATACTAACCAAATACTCATGTTTGACTTTTATAATATTTTATTTTTTTATTAAATTATAATATAATAAATAAATAATTTATTATATTTTAAAATTAAATTACATTTGAAAATTTCAAATTTAATTTAAATAAACTGATCAGAATTTTTCAAATAAAATTTGCTAAAAAATATAAATCATATTTTGTGACATTTTAGAAAGAAATATAAATTTTATTAATGAAATATTTCTCTTTATGTATAAGTTTTATATTTATATAAAACCAAAAATATTTATTAATAAAATTGAAAACTTTAATATAAAAAAAGTTTTATGTTTAATAAACTTATCCCTATTATATTTTTTTGAATGCCATTGAAAATCTTGTTTATAATTATAAATTAATACAAAATATTCATATTATATAGTTATTATTGTGCAGTTAAGCTTTATTGCTCTTGAAAAATTAAAATTTGCCTTCGCGAAAACTACTGCTTGCATGTTTGTATTTTAAATCTTTATTTTTTAAATCATTGTTTTTTGTAATAATGGTAAACGTAAAATTATTTTGATTTCAAAAACTCATCTTATGTTCTTGTCAACTTACCGTAAAATCCTGTGAATAAGTACTCCCTGAAAATAAGCATCTCCTGGCCCGCATTATAATCAGTTTGAGTAATTTGTCCACCCCATTGAACAGCAAGAAAACTGACTTCAATAATTCCTTTAATGAAGTTGTTTCTTTCTCAATGTCTGATTTGCATATTGCAATAGCATTTAAATTCAAGTGAAATATTAGTTGAATGTTTATTAGCCATACGTTTACATCGAAACCGTTTTTTGCTTATGTCACGTAAAAGCAATAAAAAATCTCACTCGCATTTCTTTCCATCTGGCAGCACAAAAATTGTGTAATGTAATTCATTATTTACATTATAATCTAGTAGCAAGTCGTTTCAGTAAATTCCATGTTTGCAAAGATTCGAATCATTTAAAAATATATTGATCCTCAGTTTGCTATGTTTTATTTGTTGTTCTTTTTTATTGGGACTGACTCTAATCGGCTCGATTCTAAATCTTAGAACTTAATTCTGTTAGCTATAGTCATAGAACATCCAGAATCGTTAGAACCATTTCCGAAATGATTTGATCCGGCTCATTATGAACCGACGTAACCGAACCGGTTAACATCCTCATCAGTGGCTCGAGTAAACAAACAAAATAACAAATTTGACATTCACGCAACGAGGTAACTTGAAGGGTAGCTTTAGATAAGCCAGCATCAACATCCGAAATTCCACCAATTTATCGAAAACACTAATCAGAGCGAGCAAACTATGTGTTGCACATTCACCAAATGGGGAAACACGATAATACAGTCAAACATTAAATACATACATGTATACTGTAATCCATGTATGAGTCAAAAAGATTCATATTCTCAATCATCTTTTGTCAACTTATTCATTGTCGATTTCTTGTTCAAATAATAGGCATTTACTAATTTCCCAAAGTTTTTGATTGGATATTGAAAAATCAGTCGCTGATTGCGATAAAATAATACCCTAGCCACGGTGAAAAAAAGTTTATGTCACATGATTTTTTTATAATCTTAACTTCTGATAACCTTATTAATTTTCATATCTTGCGATTTGATTGGTTTACTCGCCGTGGCTATTGAACTACCATAGATTTTTTGATCAACCCGGAAAAAACAAAGAAATGAAAAAATGAAAAAATTTATGTTCAGAAAAAAAGTTTTACATATAGCCCAGACCTTGAACCCTAACCCCACCCCAACTTTATAAACAAACTTTAATATTAATTATATTACAAGATGATTTTCCTGGTTTCGTCCAATCAAAGTTAAAAACTCATTTGATTTCTTAATATAGCTTGTGTATGTGACGCAAGTTAAATATTGTGTGTGCACATATTAACAATAATAAAAGACTCTTCTGGGGCACAAAAATTACCTTGTTTCATTATAACAATAACCGGGACTGGGAAAAAGTGGGATTTTGAAAGGTATATTTTAAAAGTTTAAAACTGATTGTGCAAAAATGACTTATAAGATAGGACATTTATTAAAAAACGAGCAATTGACATGTACATGTATAACGATAATTCATTTTCAAATGTAACTTTTGATAAAATTGGTGCTATCACCACGTTGCTAAATATGGACGGTAATATTAACATTAATTTTTAATCCTGTGCACCATAAATTCACCGAGAACCAATAAATTATATGGTTAAACAGATGCGCGTTCATTAGAAATGAGCGTTAACATAAATATCAAGTGCGTATAAATGCGAAAATACAATCCAGTGTTTTCCTTTTCTCTTTCACCTTTAATGCTATCCGGATAAAATTTTGAAACACATCGCAAAATTCTTATCGTTATTATCAAAGAGAGTTTGAATTCATCTCGTCCGATAGTAAACTTTGAAACGTGTATTCTTGTTAAGGTTCATTGCTTCAAAATGACCAAAGCATTGAAACTTGACAATAAATTACCAAAGTTGACCACCTGTTGCATTTGCATAAATCTTCGAACGGGTGTACTCTTAATATCGATTATTTGGATGGTAAGAATGATTGATTAATAATGAGAAATAACAATACATTAATTTGTCGCTAATATACTAATCATATCGATATATATATATTAGCTTTATGGTCTTTTATTTTCAATTGTTCACCTATTATATACTAAGGCTTTAAAAAAATCAACTAATGGTAGATTTTAATAGCATTTATACTTGCCATCTATGCAAATTAACGTTTAACCTAACGATGATGGTTTTTATAGTATATTCGTATACAGATGCTTATAATTATCCCGCAGCAATCTTATATCTTTTTATTATCGTCGCTTCAATTTACGGAATAATAGTCGTTGCATTTGCAGAATCAATTGGACGTTTAAAAATTCATGCAATTCTTACCTATGTGATCGCAACTCTAATCACGATAATGAGTATCACAGAAATTACAGTATACACTCTCTTTAAAACCACGTTCTTACAAGATTGCACCGAGTCAAACCCATCCAATGTCTGTGAGAAAGCATATAATTTGGTATTACAGATAATAATCACAACAAAGATCATCGCAGCAGTTTTATCGGTAAGTTTTTTGTTTAACAGATTCGTCGTTTTCTCATTTTTAAGTTTTAAAAAAAACCAATTATTAACTACGTACATATCTTGTAATTTTAGATTTACTTTTTGTTGGTAGTTAACTCTTACGTAGTTCGTCGTCGTAAAATAGAAAAAATGTATGATATTGATATTGAGAGTGTTAAAGAAGCGGCTCAATGATTCACATAAGCTCTAGCATGTTTCTCTTCATAGTCCCCTTCATTTCTTTCTTTTTATTTATAAAAAATATATATATTTACATAGTGTAATATTAATATATATATATATATACATACATACATACATACATATTGTATATTTCTTTTAAAATTTTCTTTCTTTAAAATCTTAAATCGATAGCATATAATTCGTAAAGCTAGGGTGCAAGTGTGACTTTATAGAAAAAACATACATCTAGAGCTAAAGCTTTGGGATCGAATCAGCACGTGCATTCAGGAAGAATATGAAAAGATCGTATTATCTTGGAATTGGGCCTTTTCCTACAGCTGAAGCTCAATGATTGTATTGAATCGAATTATGATGCCTATTAACTTAAGTAAATTTTATTGCATTATAGAATTCGTATTTCTTCCTAATAAATAAATTTCGCATTTTTTTTTAATTACTACTATCTGATATGAGCAAATTAAGAAAAAAAATTCAATTATATTACGTGTTTAATCTCTTTGCTATTATGACTATTATCCTAAATTGTCATCTTATCAAATTTTACACGGATAACAATCCTAATAAAAATTCCTTCAAGATAAAGATTTTGAAAGAGATTCGCAAAATTTTTCTAATATCGATATTTGATTGTATATTGATAGGGATTGAAATTCATATAAAGAGATACATAACTTCTAATTTGATAATCTTATTTTTAATTATTATTGTTGGCGTCTCGTGAGTTTAGAATAGCCCAAGTTCATGTATTAAAGTTAAGATTATGTCAAGAAAATCGTATTTTGGCTTACCAAATGCATTTCAATTACGGTCTCGCTTTGGTGCAGTGTTGGCTATAAGTCATTTTTCATATGACTTTGGGGTCATGAGTCATACGATATTTATAATAAAATTAAGGTCATATGTCTCGATTTTGAGGTCATATCTAGGTATGGTCCAACACCGCTTTGGCGTGATAATATTGATAATTTTATAGTTAGAGTCTTAAATATTATTTTTTTGTGCTGTCTTTCTTTTTAGCTAGAATACATTCTTTCTTTGAATTCGTACATTACGCGATATTTAAAGAAGGAAAGCAAGGGAGAGTGATGAATGTCTCCCTTAAAAAATTACGCATCATAGCTCGACGTGATAATTAGATTTCTTTTATGTATGCCTTTAGGTTACAAGGCTCGCCTTAACATAACTAAAATATAATGTTACTTTTGGTTGTTTCGGTTTTGCTGGCTTCATTATATTGATTCATCAACAATCGGAGGTAAGAACCATAAATGGAATACCCATTTTGTTATCATTAAAGAGATGTTTTTCTCGTATCTGTGTAGATCTCAAGACGGCACAATTTTTTTGTGTTGTCCCAATCGTTAAAAGCTGAGTTGGTTTTACTTATCAAATTTATTATAAAGCTTTTAAAGGACAACCCATATCGAACCTAAAAATTTACGCTGAGCATTTTTACTTAAAGGCTCAAAGCTAGTTGTCTTGGTAAATTTTCGAGTTATTTGAATTATTCGCTCTTACAATTGGGATTGGTCAAATTACAATACTTTAACGGGGTATTTTTCCCGGTATTCTAATATAGGAAACGGTATCCGAGACTTTTTCAAAGATTTTTCACATGTATATTTTGACTTATTGAGCAACAAATTAATTTATCAAGTACAATGACAATATCATTTACCTTGTGAAATTAATTTAAAGAGAAACTCCATTGTCTTGGGCTTTTTGGTAACTTTATATGAATTAAAAAAGCATTTACTAAATAAAAGGGGACTCCTAAACCAAAAAAGACAATCAGACGAGCTCGCCTGACATCATGTCTATTTTGATGATTGGCTTTTTACTTCATTCAGTGACATATGTCTTTCACTCGTTAAATCGGAGGATTTCATTCATCAAACCAATTTCTATAATAGTGATACGTATCAGAGATAGAAGAGTTAGGGGGCAGTGAGTGCGGTTACACTGAACCTAGCAAAATTCGAAATAAACGTTAAAGATTAATCAAGATTAGGTCAGGGTTAGGGTTGAAGATAGAGCTATATGTAAAATTGTCTTCACATCATTTTTTATTAATGTTCCAAATAAACCTGACACACACTTCAGTTGCTGAAATATCTCATCCATAACGTAATCTTATAATTACATGAAAATTTATTATCAAATTAGCATATAGCATTATTTGTTGTCTTTTAACATTTGACAAATGTGTATTTACTTCAATTATAATAAAATGATAGTGAAAAAATTTTTAACCCCATATGAAAAGAATCTAAAAGAATGTAATGTTTCCGAAATAATAATTGCGATCATGCTGAATAGTCAGTAATATCTTCTTCAGTTTCCAACACAGCATCGATACTCGTATGCATGTGTCTAGTATTACGCTTATTCTGTTTATAAGCGATTGAAGGTAGTGAAACGAATTCCGCGTATGCCGCCGCCGCGTCTTCCTCGCTTCTTTGTGATGGTGCTGATGATAGTGATTTTGGTTTGATTTTCTTTAATAGACTTTCGAAATCCATACTATAACTGCGGTTCGTAAGATTATCCGATTTAACCGAATAGGTAAATACAGCTGTGCTGGCAAGTGAGTCACGTCTATTTTTGAATCGGGCTTTATGTTCGCGCCTGGCGAGGTAAGCTCTGAGCATTATTGAAAAATAAATCTATCAGAGAAAAGGATGAGTGACGATTAGAATTGAAAATTGGAGGTACACGGCAATAACGAACAGAAAATCGACATTAAATTAAACGCACATTAACCAAACATGCGGTCAAAGTTCCCACTGCCACTTCAATAATGCTAGTTTTTACCCGATTTTCACAAAATCCTTCGATTTTCTTTGGCGGATATTTATAAATCATAAATGCTCGACAATCTTTAAGTGAAGTTTTGTACGATGCGGTAAGTGATGCTATCATTGTCAGACTTAATATCAACCAAATTAGGACCATTAGAACCCATGACAAATTTGAATAGATTCGTATTGATTTATCAGATTTCTGAATGAATAACAAATGAGTGTTTTAATATACGTTTAAAGAGAAAATCATTGGGAACAACAAAAGAATAATCAGTTACCCGTATTATCAGTGCGTATAGGCCATAAACTGCGAATATCGTTGCACTGAATGAAAACATTAATAGTGTAATCGTTAACTCTTTCTTCATCTCGTATACTGGTTAAATTGTAGTAGAAATAAAGGTCTCGTTAGAAAGATGAATAAACGATAACAACAGAATCAATAATAATATTAATGTATGTATTTACTTGGATATTTTATAAATAGAACCGCCGACGCTATCCCTCCTAACTAGAGAAAAAAAGTTATATGTGAATTAAAATACTATCAAAAATGATAATGGGAAATGATTTATACTTACCAGCCAGGTTATAGTCAATAAAATTGAACCCAACCGTAACCCAATACAAAAGCAAAAATGGCCAAGTCCTTTATGATGCGGACTTTTCTTTACCATGATGTCTACTTAATATTATTATACTTTGTACATATATATATATATATATATATATATTCTATAGACGTGTAAATATATTGTAATTTACAGTTGCTGTTGATTATATATTTCGGTTGGAAGGGCCTTTTGTATGTTTTGAAGGAATTGGTGTCATCAAACTATCTGGAGTAAAAAAAAAAGGAACGCGTTTGAATGGTGTCTTTAAGCAAACATATTACAGAAATGACTGGCTTAAATTAGACATTAACTAAATAACCATAATACTAACAATAATTAATTAATGAGTTTTTGTCTCCCCGTTAAATATCCAAATTGTGGTATTGCTACTTCTACTCCTATTATATAGTAAATCGTCAGTTGTATGCTTATAATACAGACAACAATTAGAGTTAAAAGGAAGGTGATAGATAAAAAACAGTCATTCGTAAATGTATAATTCGTAAACGTATATAAAGAAGAGAAGTAGCAGAAACCAAAGCATAAGAAGTGTGTGCAAAGGAAGGAAGCAAAGAAGCAAAAAGGAGAATTTAAATTCGAGTTTAAATAAAATTTCCCACCGATGATCGTCATTTTTGTTGTATCCGGAAAATTTTCTTTCGTCACAAGATTTGCACCCTTTTTTAATGAACGCGTTTTTTTGAACTTAAAACAATTTTGGAAGCAGATAGAAGGATTAAATGAAAGAAATGATTCAGGAAACATTTGGAAAAACATAATCGCAATTAAAATTCCATTTTAAAAAAGAAATTACGAGAAAAAATTATAAATTCTGGCTTTTTTGAAATTCAAATCTTTTTCCTTTATTGACTAACAAATAGATTCACATTCAAACCTCAAAATGACCTTAATATCTCGCATAGCTTTAAAACAAAAATACCCTGAATTACGCAAATCTTTGTCAGTATTTATTCAGTGTTACTTGTCGCATATTACTGTTTTGGTTTTGCAAAGATAGAGCATGATTATATTTTCATTACTTCGTTTGTATATTGTTGATAAATCGAATAATTTTGAATTTTGTTAAGATAATTTACTTATTTTCAGTAAAATTAAATTAAATTTTTTAATATAATTCTTTTTTTTGCAGTCAATACGAAATATAACGTGAAAGCTCATTTTCCCCTGGTTGAATAGCATGTTTTTGTTCATAGGCAACAAAACATTATCTAATTTTGTCTCTGTTATAACGATAAGGATAACGAAAACTCCGCTCCGAGCCGAAAGCCGATAGCTGTACGCACCCCTAGATTTCTGTCCCTCCCCCCGTACCGTATATCAGGTAAGAATAATTCTTTCCCATTTCGTTTTGTGGTAGGATTTTTCTAATTTGGTTTTGAATAATAAACCTTTTCTTTTAACAACATCTTGTTCGTTTTCCAAAAAATATAAATTTAAATAAGCGCAATTTTGATCTTGCCGAGCGTACATTGTATATGTGTTGGCAGATCAGTGCGTTGATCACAATATAAACTCAAAAGTTCAATAATGAAAAATGGTTTTCCTCGTGGGTCAAGTGATGTATCGTGTGTCTTCATTGTGGAATAATAAAGTTATTTAACTATGCCTGAAGAATGTTCTAATTAATGTGATAATTATATTACTAAATATATGCGTAATACTTATTCTAAGAAAAAAACTTTATTTAAAAACATCTAATTGACCCAAAGATACGCTTTGTTATTCGTCTTGTGGTATTCATAACGTGAAGAGATCTATTTTATATAAACTATCACTAATTAAGCATTTATAGCCGAAATGAAAAAAACTATCCGATGTTAATAAAAAATGGTGTGATCAACTTTTGTATTTTAACGTTAAGCAAATAACGTCATAAATTCATGTGGAACTTAGAACAATAAAAAATCCAAAAGTGCAATATTTTATGTTTGAAGAAATGTTTTTGTTTCACAAAACGTTAAATTGAAAAAATGTATTATCGTTATATCTGGCGTTCTATTGATTTGTCACGTGATAATGTTCCCTATATTAAACAACTTTAGGTGCCAAACTTATGACTTTTCCCCACTTTTTTCCTCTCAATTCGGCCGCCACAACACCCAAAATCCGCGTACCTAGAGGTTCGCCACGATTATTCAATAAAACACAAGCATTATCGTCGAATCGAATATATCGGCCATCCGCACGTCGTGTTTCTTTACGTGTACGAACAACGAGCGCTTTTCGAACTTCTCCACGGCGAATAGCAATTTTTGCTGCGGTGGTTGACGCCGTGGCACCCGATCCGGTTGTAGAGGTGTTGATTGGTCGTGCTTTTTGAATTACCACAGTGATTTGATCACCTTAAACAATTTTATATAATATGAATTGTAAAAAAGTACGGTGTAAAAAAAAAATTCATCTTGTTAATTAATATCCTTTACCTATACGACCATAACGTCCTCCATGTGCTACGCGAATGCATTCGGCTAATATAGCTCCAGAATTATCAATGACGTTTAATATCGATTTTAGTTGTATCATTCTGATATGCTTTATTAGCTTTGGCTAAAAAATATTACAATCAGGACAAAAAAACTTGAAGTCGTACATATACATAGTGTTATCATGCAACTGTAGTTGATCAGCTGATACAATTAATCGATTATCGTTTAATTTAACAATATTTATTTTTACTTTCATTTTAATATTATCTATTGAGGGAAAATATTGAATCATGTTACATTTTAAAAACAAAAGATAATTAATCATATCCAGATCCAGCTGATTTCGTTTTGCAGTTATATGATTTCCAGCATCAGAAAAAAGTTGAGTAAAGTTACTTTCTGGCGAATTTTGCCAATATAGAAATTTCAATCCACCACTCTAAAAGATTTTTTCAGTTGGAGCTTGTTGTGATAATTCAAATTCATTCAGTTCAGATTCCTATTCTTTATCAAAATGCTCCAAAAAAATAAACCATTTCTGAAGATTTGTTACTAAATTCATTGTCAAATTCATATTATCAGATTCATTATTAAAAGAAAATGCATATATAATATCAAAAAATAGAATTAATATAGTATAAAAATGATAAAATATCTTAAAAAATTATGATGTGTTTATTAAAAAAATGAATTAATATTTTTGTAAAAACTTCTTTTATATCTTTATGAAAAATTAATTATTAAAAAAGAAAAATATTTTAAATATATAAAAATTGAAAAAAATTATATAATAAATCAAATATTATTTTGAAAAAAATTTATTTTTTTCTGATTAAAATAACATTTTAATTATATAATCTGTTGTGAAATATTTGATACATCAGATAAATATTAATAGATTATTTTTTCAAAATAAAATTTTTAATTCTGTTTTATTTAATTAAGTTATTAGGTATTAGAATTTATTTAAATATAAAAATTTTTATTATATATCTTTAATAAAAAAATTTTTTACTAATAATAACTTTTTTCAATTATTATTTCTTAAATTTTACTATATAAAATTTGATTAAAATTAATATAAAATTATATAATAAATAATTTAATTGTTAAACTTTGAACCTAATATTTTTATAACTACTGATTCAATTTTTATGAAATTTAAAACATATATTTATCAAATATAGGACAATTTGCTTGTATAATTTGAAGGTTTAATATTATAAATTAATAGCAATAATATTTAAAATGTCTTTTTTTTAAAAAAAATTTTTATTTTAATTTTTTTTTAGTAAAGTAAAGCTTCATTTATTATTAAATTAAAATATAATAGAATAGTTAAAATAGTATAAAAAGTTAATTTAGATCATTTTTTATTTAATATAAAAAAATTATAAAGATTGATTAGAATTTGAATGATTTTAATTAGAAGCAATTATTGATTTTTATATTGAGGTACAAATCTTTTTGCACCGACCCATATATAAATATTTTTTTTAATATTAAATTCAAGATTTAATTTCTTTTTACTTTTTTAATTATTATTTTAATAAACTCTCTTTTTATTTGATTTTTTACATTTTTTTTGATTAGATCTCGATTCTCCTCTTCCGAGTTCTGAAAAGTTAAAAATAGAAATAAAAAATAGATTTAATGCCAAATTAACAGTAAACAGCAAAATTTTGACAGGATCCACCTTCAACGTTCTTAGCATCAGCAGTTTCTTCTAATTATATTTTTCGATGACGTTTTCTGTTTTCTTGAGTTTGTTCGCAACATGTTCTAGTTGAGTAACTTCAACAGAAAACCTTTAATATACATGGTCACGAGAAAGGCAAGTAAAACATGATTGCCGACTATTATTATCAACATCATTTATCTGACTTCTAGGTCCTAGAGAAATTTAGTTTTTTCCATCGTTTTTCCATCGTATCATTAATAATAATCCAGTTGGCAAAGTTTAGAATAAACGGGTATATATATACACTTGCATTTTGTTGACGAAAATCATCAATTTGGTTTTCAAAAGGAAATTAACCCTACCAGGCTTTCAAATCTTTTATTCGTTGCTTTAATCATCCTGCGCAAAACATAAGTTTTTAATAATTAAATCTTCATTTATAGGTTTAACCCAATGATGGTATAGAAAATATATAACTACATGATACGTGGCGAGCTTTCAGAATTTATACTTTTCAAAAATATTAGTATAGTAATTCCTCAATGTGCTACGTGGCTATTTATCATTTTATTATGAATAAGATAAAAACCCATATCAAAAAATAAAAATATAATATAATAAGGATTGCATGGAAACAAAGCGCCGCAAATAAAAAATCCTATATATGTACTTGAGCGATAAGTTCCAGCCAGTCAAGGAGCTTTAGTCACCGTCTTTTGAGCTGATTGAGAAATTAAATAAAAAATACAGAATTCAATATAGATAATTGATTCATTTTAGTTATTAATAACGCTGGTCAAATGATTAACTTACTTACCCTCTTGAGTCCATCGTTGCCTATCTCTTTGAAATTGACGTCCCATATCACACCAAGCCGCAAGCATTTCATTTTGTGCTTTAACTAATTTCTCAAGCTGATCAAATTTTCTTGACATGATCAGCATTCTGGCGATGTAATTTTGCATTTTCAGTTTTGAGATTCTCTAGGCTATCTACACAAAAACATTATTTACATTTAAATAATTACATTTATATTAAATACCATAAATAACGTCCCATATCATACCAATTTGCTTTTGTTCGAAAGCAGCTTGTTCCTTGAATTCCTCAATCATCGAGTTAAAAATACAAAATAAAAAAGCTCTTTTATTAAATTAAAATACTTTACTTGATAGCGTTTAACTTCCTCGACACGATCTTCTTGTTCGAACGCGGCTTGTTTCTCGAGTCCCTCAATCCTTGACTAAATAAGTATAAAATACAAAATAACAAGGCTTTTTTAATTGAATTAAGATGCTTTATTGGTAACGTTCAACTTCCTCGGCATGATCTTCTCGTTCGATAGCAGCTTTTTTCTTGAGTTCCTCAATCATTGACTGTTAAACTAGTAAAATTGCTTAAAAATACTAAACAAAATGATTTTTTAATTAAAATTAAATACTTTACTTGGTAACGTTTAACTTCCTCAGCATGAGCTTTTCGTTCACCTTTCAAAGAACTTACTGCAGTTTTTAAAGTCTCAATTGATTTAAATAATTCCTTTCATTTCCCAATGTATCTTACTAACAATCAGTTTTGGTTTTCAATTGGCAAAACATGTTATTGAAACAATAAAATTACTGACATATTGATAAAGTAGTGATGATACTCTTCCATTAAAGTTTGATTCGTTTTTCCTAGCTTCCTTGTCACTCATAGCTTGGATAAATTCCGCGTTTATTTGTCACAAATCTTCATTTATAAGTTCAATCCCAATGATGATTTAAAAGTAGATGATACGCGGCAAGCGCCAGAATTTAAACAACGCGGCTAACTCCGAATTATAGGCGTATGAATTTATAAAATCCGGATCACCGATCTTTTTTTTTATTTATTATTGATATACAATAAATATATAATAAATACAATCGGACAATGAATATTTATTCTGTTTAAATTTATGTATACCCAAAAAAAAAAAAGGTAAATTTATGATAATAAGATAAAACCCATACCAATAATAGCAATAGAAACTCCCCTTTATTTCCTACCTAACCTTAAAAAAAAATAAAATAAAAATAAAATACAATAAGAATTGCATGGAAACTAAGCGCCGCAAAATAAAAATCCTATATATGTAATTTAGTGTGCTTGAGCGATAAGTTCCAGCCAGTCAAGGATCTTTAGTCACCGTCTTTTAAGCTGATTGAGAAATTAAGTAAACATACAAAATTCAATATAGATAATAGATTCACTTTAGTTATTTAATAACAATGGACAAATGATTAACTTACTTGACCCTCTTGAGTCCCGTCGTTGCTGACCAAGCCAGGATGTAGGTTGAATTCTTTGGAATGAAACATTATCTCTTTGAATTCGACGTCCCATATCGTACCAAGCCGCAGTAATTAAATTTTGTTCGAAAGCGGCTTGTTTCTTGAGTTCCTCAATCATCGACTATTAAACAACTATAAAATGGTTAAAAATACAGATAAAAAGATGTTTAAATTAAATTAAAATACTTTACTTGGTAACGTTTAGCTTCCTCGGCATGAGCTTCTCGTTCAATTTTCAAAGAACTTACTGCAGTGTTTAAAGTCTCAATTGAATTAAATAATTCCTTTTCCACTTCATTCATTTTCCTAATGTATTTTACTGACGATGATCCATCAACTTCGCGTTTATTTGTCACAAATTTCATTTATAAGTTTAATCCCAATGATGATTTAAAAGTAGATGATACGCGGCAAGCGCCAGAATTTAAACAACGCGGCTAACTCCGAATTATAGGCGTATGAATTTATAAAATCCGGATCACCGATCTTTTTTTTTATTTATTATTGATATACAATAAATATATAATAAATACAATCGGACAATGAATATTTATTCTGTTTAAATTTATGTATACCCAAAAAAAAAAAAGGTAAATTTATGATAATAAGATAAAACCCATACCAATAATAGCAATAGAAACTCCCCTTTATTTCCTACCTAACCTTAAAAAAAAATAAAATAAAAATAAAATACAATAAGAATTGCATGGAAACTAAGCGCCGCAAAATAAAAATCCTATATATGTAATTTAGTGTGCTTGAGCGATAAGTTCCAGCCAGTCAAGGATCTTTAGTCACCGTCTTTTAAGCTGATTGAGAAATTAAGTAAACATACAAAATTCAATATAGATAATAGATTCACTTTAGTTATTTAATAACAATGGACAAATGATTAACTTACTTGACCCTCTTGAGTCCCGTCGTTGCTGACCAAGCCAGGATGTAGGTTGAATTCTTTGGAATGAAACATTATCTCTTTGAATTCGACGTCCCATATCGTACCAAGCCGCAGTAATTAAATTTTGTTCGAAAGCGGCTTGTTTCTTGAGTTCCTCAATCATCGACTATTAAACAAGTATAAAATGGTTAAAAATACAGATAAAAAGATTTTTCAATTAAATTAAAATACTTTACTTGGTAACGTTTAACTTCCTCGGCATGAGCTTCTCGTTCAACTTTCAAAGAACTTTCTGCAATCTTTGAAGTCTCAATCACTTCATGTTGTGCTTTAACTAATTCCTTAAGCTGATCAATTTTCTTGGCACGATCGGCATTCTGGCGATGCAATTTGATATTTTCAGCTTTGAAATCATCTTCACTTCTATTCTCCAGGTTATCTATCAATGCTGTTAACTCACTTTTTACACAAAAATATCATTACATTTAATGATTACATTATATTAATACCATAAATACATAACAAAAAAATCAATTATTTAATAATTACTTGTTTTTAGCCTGGAGTTGTTCCCGTTCTGCCTCTAATTCTTTTAATCTATTCTCAAGATCAGCTAGAATGTGAATATTAAAGTTTAGTATAAATTTAGTAAAAAGAAAAGGCATGTAAAATAAAAATTATTTGATATATATATATATATATAAAATACATACGATCTAATTTAGATAGATCCCTCTCTTTCTCAACTTGTTCCAACTTGCTTTGAGCTTCAATAAGTTTCTTTTTAGTATCAAATAGTTCACGGTCCCTTGCACCGCTATTTTTGTTAATGTCGAGCCTAATAACGAAAATTTTAGTATTCTGTAATATCAATTGTAGCATTCGATATAACACTAACCCACTGTTGTTGAAACTACTCTCATAACGGGCAAGTTTACTCTCTATCTCGATTTTCTCTCTGGTGGTTCTTGACAAATCCTATTATTCCATTCATATAATTAATTATAAAAACTTTCAGATTAGATTTAAATTTTCGACTAAGAAATAACCTTCAATTATTAATTAAACTCAAATTTAACCTTTTCCAATTTCTCTTTAGATTTTTTAGCATCATCAAGCATCTGATTTAGCATAATAATCTCTGATTCATCCACAGGCTGTTTTCCCTCACGCCATCCATCCAATTCACGTTGTAATTCGTTAATTCTTAATTTCAATTGTGTCTCTCCATAATTCGGATAATTCGGCTGGACAAAATCATCATCCTTTTCACCATTTTCATTGGGAATTCTATCAAGACGTTCACCTATATAATGACAATTTATTAGCTATTATATACGTTCTTTTCATTTGCTATTATTACGCTATTCTCATAAACTTAAATTTAACTATTGTCTCACCATCAACAAGTTCCAATTCTCGGAGTCGTTCTTCCATTAATTCTATCTTTTCCATGTCCCGAGCTTTTTCCATTTCATACGCTTCAATCTTCGCCCTCATATGTTTATATTCATATTCATATTTATTTCGAACGTCAATGAGCTCTCTTTTTTCCTTTTCAAGCGCCTCTATTGTACGTTTATATTGATCCAATGTGGGTTTGAAGTTAGCCACTTTTCGGTATTCATCTTCGATTTGTCTGTTACGTTCTATTAGATCGTGATTATCCTCTTCCAAGTTCTGAAACAATGAAAATAGACAGTATAGCAAAAAGATTTCGTAGATTTAACGCCAAAATAACCTCAAATTTTGACTAGAATCCAACCTTCAATTTTCTCCTTAAATCAGCACCATCTTCTAATTTTTTCTTGTATTTTTCGATGACGTTTTCAGTTTTCTTAAGCTTTTCCGCAGCATGTCTATATTCATCGAGTTGATCTTTAAGACGAGCAGTCTCATCAGCTTTAGCTGAATACTCTTTAACCTGTGAGTTATATATGGTCACGAAAAAAGGGAAAGGTTAATATGGCTGTCGATTATTAAATATCTGTTTTATTAAGTATTTGCAATATAATCAATGGAATTTACCTGATTTCTGAGCTCTGAGAGCAATTTAGTTTGCTCTTCTATCGTCTTTTCCAGTTCACTTCGCTTAGTTTCGCTCCGAGATCTGTATTGTGCATATAATATTATTAAGAATAATCTAAAAACTGATGAATGACAAATATCTAAAAACAAACGAGTATGTATACTTGCATTTGTTGACGAAAATCATCAATTTGAGTTTTCAAAAGGAAATCAGCTCTGCCACTTTGAGTTGTGTGCTGTAGGGAGGCTTCCAAATCTTTTATTTTTTGATTTAACTCATCTTTGTCGGTTTGTATTTCAGTTTGTAAATCATCCTGCATACGATAAGTTACTTGTTATGAAAAGTTTTTAATAATCGAAAGATAACAAAGCTACTGACATATCGATAACGTAGTTGTTTATGCTCCTCCATCAAAGCTTGATGTGCTTTTTCCAGAGTTTCCTTATCACTGATAGCTCGATTAAGTTCCGCAGTTATCTGTCGTAACTCTTCTTCGCTTATAGATTCAAAAATTCAAAATAACGTAACATAATAATTTAATATCAATAAAAAATGATTCTATGGTATACATACAAATTAAATGGTTGTTTAGCAGTAGACTCCTGTATGCCATTTTCCAATTTTTTCATCACCTAAAAAATTTTATTCAAAAAATTAGAGGCAAAATCCGTGAAAATATTCTTATATTCAACATTCATTAGAAAACCATCAAACCATTCAGACACGCATGGTATAATGCACATACACACTTACCCGTTCAATAGCCACCATCAGTCCCTTTTGCGAATTATCTGATAAAGATTGGATTCTTTCAATATAGTAAGCATTCCTTGAACTCTGCACAGCCATTGTTAAAATTAATGAGCATAATTTAATAAGCTCTTTAGTATCTGATTCTTTGGCAATAGCGTTTAAATCGATATCGTCGAAGTTTTTTGTGTCATGACCGATTTCCTCTTTATAATATCGTTGGATGAGAGTATATAATCTTTTAAGTTTGGTGGATCTGATAACCCAATTTTCTGTATCTTCACGAGTATCTCCTCGAAGGGATTTAAACCATCGCGAATCACTGTTTCACACATCAAATTGAAGATGGAAATATCTATGAATCGAATTTGCTAAAACACTACATTCAAACTTCATGATTTTTCAAAGAGCAGAAACTCACACATCACAGGCGATCTCTATCAGAACACCGCCATCTGCAAGGTCTGTATAGTTATTGACCGGCCTCGATATATTGTCTAAAGCATTTGCCTATGTTTTCAAATTTGAAAATGCCACTTAGTGCGTATGTGTGAGTTGTATGTTATTTGTTGTATAAATTAATGCCATATGCCAAAAAAAAGGCAACCGTTCTAATAAGCATTACATCTCCCGTAAAGATCACATGAACGGTAAAGTCAAGTTAACATAGAAAAGACAGTAGACTTACCCAGTCAATAAAAGCGGTCAACTCCTCTTCTTGAGCCATGGACATGAGAGGCAAAGAGTAATTACTTTTATGTATTTATTATGTGTAATAAAAACAGTTAAAATAAAAGAGCGTGGACTATTATTTCTTTTCGATCTTTAGGGAGTAAAAGAGAATTCATAGGCAAGAAACAAAGTGTTTACAATAAAAACGAACAAGGGAATTTATTAAGGGAACACAAGAATAGTGCAAGCAAATAGAAGTACAAGCATTGCCGACCCTGTTTTTCGAATTACTTGATCTGATGCATTGTTGATAATCAATGACATTATGAGTTATTTTTAGGTATTACTAAATTTACGTTTTGTTAAACAGTTAAACATGGAATTCTAATTATTAAAGTGGTGTTATAAGACCTATCTTCATAACATGTAAAATATCCAGGTAAATTACATTTTTTTTTATTATATGGTATAAGTAGGGTGCGGTATATGTCCGAGACTAATTTATCTTATTCATCCTTTAGTTTCGCCCGAGATTTGAATTGTGTGAATAATATCATTAATAATAATCCAATTGATAAATGACGGAGATTTTCAAAAAAAAAAAAAAAAAAGGATTTATACTTGCATTTATTGACGAAGGATCATTAATCTTGTCAAAAGGAGCTTAGCTGCCACTTTGAGTCTTATGTTGCGAGGAGGCTTTCAAATCATCTAGTTTTTGCTTTAAATCATCGTTCTCGTCCTGTAAGTCTTCGTTCTCGTCCTGTAATTCATCGTTCTCGTCCTGTAATTCATCGTTCTCCGCCTGCAAATTTTCGTTCTTCGCATATAAAACTTTGTTCTTGACTTTTAAATCATCCTGCGTATAATTTACAAACCATGTTATGAAAAGTTTTTAATAATTGAAAAGATGATTAAGTTACTGACATATTGATGACGTAGTTGTTGATGCTCTTCCATCAAAGCTTGATGCGTTTTTTTTAGAATTTCTTTTTCACTGATAGCTTGGGCAAGTTCCACATTTATCTGCGGCAATTCTTCTTTACTTGTGAATTCAAAATTCAAATAAGATTTTCATTTAATCTCAATAAAATAAAGTAATGTCATGCTATACGTACACATTAAATGGTTGCTGAGACTCCTGTATTCCATGTTCTAACTTTTTCATCACCTAAAATTTTATTTAAAAAAATTCGTAGAGGGAAATCCGCGAAAATATTCTTATATTCAACATTCATTAAAAAATCAAATCATTCATTCAAACACACAATGTACATAATGCACATACACACTTACTCGTTCAATAGCCCCCATCAATCCTTTTTGTGAATTGTCGGATAAAGATTGGATTCTTTTAATATAGATGACATCCTTTAAACTCTGCACGGTCAATGCCAAAACTATTACGCATAATTTAATAAGTTCTTTAATATCTGATTCGTTAGCAATCGCGTGTAAATTGGGATCGTCGAGGTTTTTGGTGTCATATCCGATGACCTCTTTATAATATCGTTGGATGAGAGTATATAATCTTTTAAGTTTGTTTGATCTGATAACCCAATTATCGATATCTTCGAGAATATCCCCACGAAGAGATCTAAACCATCGAGAATCACTGTTTCACAATCAAATTGAAGATGGAAATTATCTATGAATCGAATTTGCTAAAAAAAATTACGTTCAAACTATATAATTTTTCATAAAGCAGAAACTCACACATCACAAGCGATTTCTATTAAGACTCTGCCATCTACAAGGTCTGTGTAATTGGTGACCGTTCTCGAGATATTGTCGAAAGTATTTACCTGTGTTTCCAAATTTGAAAAAATGCGTTTATGTACGTTATTTGTTGTGTAACTATAAGCGTAAAAAGACTGCCTGATTACTTAAAAAAGAAAGACAAATATTCTCGTGGTCGGGAATGACTGACTTAACCTATACTGGCGATATTTTGTTATCACATGTCAGCAGTCAACTCACCCATTCAATAAAAGCGACTGCCAACTCTTCCTCTTGAATCTTGGCCATGAGTGTTTATCGCCTATAATAAAAACAGTTTAAAAGAGCATACTATTATTTTGAGACTTTGAGTGAAAAAGAAATTTCATATAAAATGCAAATGTTTACGAAGAAATCAGTCCCGAATTTAAAATACTTTGATTTTGCTAGCATGATAAATATACCATATACTCACGAAATAATGCACAGGGGTTATAATTTCAAATTTTGGCCTGAATTAAGCTTAATGCGGACCGTGATTCAAAATAATGCGCATAGGCGAGTATACAGTACGGAAAATAAGCACTCAGAAAAGCAAATTTTATTATTTATATAGCATATATTTTTATGCAACTTATGATATTTATTATAATTAAGCAAACTAATATAACGTGATGCTGAATAAGAATAATCAGCTAGATTACATATAATAATGAAAAAGACTACCAAATGCTAATACTTCATTCGGACTCCATAAATTATAACATTCCTGTCGCGATCATTCAACCATTTTTCGACACCTTTGTATTGAGAATTATTAAGTAAACATATTTGCTTTAAACATGATATAAACTTGGTATCTTGAGTCAACTTTATCAAAACATTATCTGTAGGTTCACGAAATGAGAAAGTCTTGTCCTGGTCCCCAAATCTATAGAGAAAAATAAGTAAAATATAATAAAATCATTGCAAAACATACAAACCAAATATGCAGAATGCTACTATTGATCTGATAAACTCTAAAAGACCTTTCACATTACACATCCTTCTTGCTCATAAGAGACTTTCAGTGTATTTTTTGACTTCATGCTCAAGATTCGTAATAATTTTTGATAGGTTTGCCTTTTTTTCTGCTAATTTTTAATTTTTCCTGTGCATTTTATTTTACTAAATCTAATTTTTTTTGTTCCTTTTTTTTCATAAATCCTTTGTTTTTTTCCATTAAATTTTCCATTAAATCTAATTTTTCTTGTTCATGTTTTTTATTATATTCTTTGTTTTCTGTTTCTTTTCCTACTACTACATTTAATTTTTCTTTTTCAATTTGTTTCATTACATTCAAAAAGACTTTCATGGCTCTTGTATTAATTACAAATTTTAAAGTTGAATCATCAGATAATTCATCAATAATTCAAGAAAGTTCAAGTTTAAAACTGCATTATAATTATAAAGAATAATAAGTCTGTGATCAATTAAATAAATTATTTTTAAGTATTTGTTTGAGTAAAAAAAAATAAATATATAAGTATTTTATTACTTTAGCTAAAGAAATTAAATTTTCAAGAAATTTTTTATATATATTATATCTTAGATTAATTCTTGCTTCATGTGATAATTAAAATATATTAAATATCAATTTTAGTTAAAATGCATAATCTTATTAATGAAATACTAATATTATTAATTAATTAATAAATTAACAAGAATTAATTAAATCAAACAAAATATTTTCTTATATAGGATAGAAATACTAATTAAAAGTTATTATATATCTATATTATAAATATTTAATATAATTATATATCAAAAAATTTTTTTACATGATTTTTTTTGCTCAAAAAAAATTTTAAGTATATTTATTATGTTTTTGATAAAAATAATATCATTAAATTAATATAAATTATAAATAAGCTATTATAATAATATATTAATTTTTACTATTTATAATATAATATTAAATATTAATGATTTTTAATATACAGTGTATTGCAAAAGTCTTTGGATAATCATCATTCAAAATCAAATTGGTGTAACTCACTCAATTTCAATTCAAACTAGACCAAATAAAAAGAGATCAGATATTCAGTACTACAAGAGTCATTTTACTTTCTTTTTTCATAAAATTTTATTGATATATTTTCTAAAAAGAGCGAACAAAAATGCTGATGGCCAAGAAAAATACCCATGCCCAAACTATTGAGCATTTCTGACTTCAAAGCAAAAATGCAAGTGAAATACATCATCTAACAAATATTGCGAGGTCAACTATTTACTATAATATTTCAAAATTGAAGAAAATCCAAAGTACAGTCCACAAAAAATATAGTGGTCATCTCACAAAAATCATCCCCAAATGCTCAAGATCCATTAGACAGATTATTCAGAGAAATCCTATGATATCTTTAAGAATATTGACCACAAAATTATTCAAAAAAGATACCCAGATATCTTATAGTACACTTTCAAGATATTTAGCCAAACATAGCTTTGATAAAAGTTTTCCTATGGTGATACCAATGCTCATGATGGCACACAAGGAAAAGTAGGTAGAATAAGTGCAAAATTACTCCAATAACAATTGGAATTGGACAGTATTTTCTGATAAAATAAGTTTTTGGCTATTCAGAAATACTATATAAGTTTGGTACAAGGGTGAATGACCAGTTCGTCACATCCTAAAAGACTGAATAAAAATTAATGCTTGAGGCGGATTTTATATAAAAAGTAAAACAAGTCTTTTTTGCTTTCGAGAAGATATAACCAGTCTTTTCTACATTAATATCCTAAAGAAACATGTTCCTGAGATCAGAAATATGTTAAGAAATAATTAACAGTTCCAACAAGACAATGATCTGAAGCACATAAGTAGTATGGTGAAAGAATATCTTTAAAATAACTTCCCAAGAGTAATTGATTAGCCATCCAACAGTCCTGACCTAAACCTTATCAAAAACTTATGGAGTATTGTCAAGAGGAACGTAGAGATATGATAACCAAGAAATATTTTGCAATTAGAGTAATTTATGAAGGAGAAATGGGCAAAGATTCCTCAATGTCTTATCAATAATTTAGTGAGGTCAATGAAAGAGCATTGTAAACTTATTATTGAAAACAATAGCGAACGTATTCCTTATTAATTTTTTTTAAAATCATCTTGTGCTTTTTAGCTTTTGAATGAATCATTAAACACATGATTTGAATTAGCCATTGTGGCGCAATGGTTCAATAATTTTGTCCAAAGACTTTTGCAACACACTGTATATAAATGTATAAATTAATATATATATTATTATATAATATTATTATTAAACTTAAATCAGACTTGAACTTGTATTTCAAGTTTAAAATTCAAATTAAACTTGAGTTTAAATCAAACTCAAACTTAAAATTTAAATTAAGTTTGATTAAAAATTAATTTTTAGTATAATAATAAAAATTATAATTCTAATTAAAGAGTTATAATTTTGTTTATAAGTATAAAATAGATTTATTATTCAAATTTTAACTTAATTAAATAATTAAAATATTTTTATTTAAATAATTATTATTAATATAATATATTTTTATGAATAATAATTTTAATATAATAATTTTTAATAAAATTTATAGCTTTAAATAGTATTATAATTTTATTTATAAATATAAAATAAATTTATTATTCAAAATTTTAACTTTTAATTAGGTAAAATTAAAATATTTTTATAAATAGTAAATATAATATACTTTCAAAAAAATGATTTTTTATTATAAATTAACTTAGCAAAATTTATAATTCTAGATAAGAACTATATTTACTTATAATTATTTTATATAATTTCTAATAAAAAAATATTATTAAAAAACTAAATATTTTTATAATCTAATATAAAAAGATTTATATCTCACTAAAATATTAATAAAAAACTTTATTATATAATATTTATTTTTTTATTTAAATAATATTAATATATATTAAGAAAGATAATATATAAATATTAAATTAAGATTATTTATTTTTATTAAGATTATTATATTTATGAAATTTTTTATTAATTAATTATATATTATTATTAAATTTAAAATATTTTTTTAAAAAATTTAATAATAATTTACTAAGTAATTTTTTAAATATATTTAAAAAAATATTTTTAATAAATAAAAAATTTAAATATAATTCTAAATATATAATCTTATTCTTAATAATTATTTAAATATTTATAATAAATTATAATTTATAATAATATAAAGAAATAAAAAAAAGTTATATTATTTTATAATCTTTATATAAATAAATAATATCTTTTTTTATTATATATACTAATTTTATTTGATTTTTAATTTTAAATAATATAATTAAAATTATAAATAATAAGTTAATTAATTAATTATTTAATTGAATTTTTTATTAATTTAAAAAAATAATTTTTTTTAATATATTTTTATATTTTAAAGACTTTAAGTTTAAATTATCACTATAAATCAAACTTATTATAAATTTATATATAATTATAAATATAATTATTCTAAAAATTAAATAATTAAATACAAAATATTATTTAATATATATATTATTATCATAGTAATATAAATTTCTTTAATTTAATAATCTTTCTTTAATTATAAAAAAACTTTCTTTTTCTTTTATTTTATAATTTATCACATAATTTATCATATAATTTAAATTATTTTTATTTAATTATCTTATTATATTTAAATTCTAAGTTTATAAATATTTTTTTAAATATTATATTTATCCTAAATTTGAGATTTACTTTTTCAATTCATATTAATTTTTCATGTATATAGTAAATTAATTAGTTAATATAGTTATAGATTTTTTCTTTTATATTTATCCTTCTAAAAATCTTTATACATAGTATTTTAACTTTAATAACATAAAAATCTTGATATTTTAGTTGTAGTAATTCAATTATAAAAGATTATAACATATATATTTAGATAGAATTAATTAATAATATTTTAATTATTTATATAATTGAAAAATATATAAAAGAACCTGCTCTCTCAAATAAAATAAATTCAGACTTAAAAAATATAAATTTAATAGTTAATTCTTTTTAAATTATGTTAATATATTTTAGTAGAAGATCTCTACTTAAAATAACCTATATTTTTGATTTATATTTTTGTGTATATTAATTATTATACTTTTTAATTGATTATTTTTATTTTTGTTTATATGAATTATTATATTTTTTAGTTATAGTTTTCTTTGATTAATAGTGACTTCACTTATTAATTATCATAAATCTTTAATTTTATTAATTAATAGTAGCTTCACTCATTAATTATAATAATTCTTTTAATTT